AGACCCTCTGTCTCAGCTGAATGAAAGTTACCATGTACCCAGTCAGCGTCACAGTGAGCTTATAGACAAAAACTATGCATATTATGTGCAGGATAATCAATTTATTAAGTTCTGTGGAACACACAAAGTACACCTAAGAGGGTATGATGAAAATTAAACATATTACAGTCGTGAAATATTCATGGACTTAGTGTCAGAAGTAGGCCGCGCCATAGCTTAAGCCAGTGGTTTCCAAAGTGTGGGGCGCGACCCCCGGGGGGGGGGCACAGCATACTTTCCTACAGATAAAAATTAAAACTGCCCTAAGTCAATTAGAAAAGTAACAAAAAACAGAAATACATATAGAAAAACTTTTGATGAGTACAGGCTTTAATTATCATGAATTTCAAAATAACTAATAATTATTCTCTTTACCGGCAATTATAAAACGCATATGCCAGAGACAGCATTGATAGTTCGGCAGCAGCCGCATCCTCTGAAATCCCCTGAAGTCTAGACTTTTTAAAATGCTGTGTGAGGAAATGGGTGCCAAACACACTGCTCTATTGTTTTTTAGTGATGCTCGATGGCTTTCAAGAGGCAAGGTATTAAAGAGAATGTTTAAGCTGAGGCATGAGGTGTTCTGTTTTTTAAATGGGGAAAATCACTCACTGGCAGACAGTTTCAGCAACCAGGATTTTTTATTGAAAATGGCTTACCTCACAGATATATTTGAGAAACTGAATATCCTCAACGCTTCACTTCAAGGGAATGAGGCAACTGTACTTTCTTGGAATGACAAAGTGAAGCCATTCATGAGAAAATTAGAGCTCTGGAGAAACAGTATGGAAAGTGACAGGCTAGACATGTTCCCTACTCTGGTGTCAATGGTACGAGACACTGACAATCCAGTGCTTCCAATGGACATAAAAGCTGCCTACTTGATCATCTCATAATGTTGAAAGTTCATTTCAAAAAATACTTTTGAGATGATTTTGATAAATTTAATTGGATTAAAAATCCATTCGAAAATGCTCCTGGGCCCATCATCTCTGAATGTAAATGAGCATCGATCTCATTAAAAAGAAAAGTTAAGAAATTGTCTTTGTTGGAGTTCTGGATACATATTGGCAAGGAATTCCCAACTTTGAGCCAAAAAGCATTGAAGATACTGATTCCTTTTGCAACATCTTACTTATGCAAGACAGGATTTTCTGCTTTGGCAGCTATAAAGTCAAAGTATCGTTCAAGGCTAAATATTGCTAAAGAAGTTAGACTGGCCATTTCTGATATTACACCACATTTTGATAAACATTGTTCTCAAAAGCAGGGCCATCCATCACACTGAACTTTGACATTTAAATGTTAGATTTTCTTTGCAGAAAAAAATTAAATACTTGTTAGTTAAATATCGTTTCATTTCAGTACATATTTTGGTTAATTGCAAGTGTTAAAACTAATTTCTGTTGTAGGCCTAATATTGTGATACTTTAAATGTGAGTAAAAAAGCTGCTAAATAGTACGTAGAAAGACACAAAATAAACTGAATAAAACGTCAAACATACCATGACTTCTATTTTGATAAAAAAATACAGGCTGGGGGCTTGAGAGTATTTTCTCTTGTCAGATGGGGCTCAGAGGTAAAAAGTTTGAGAACCACTGGCTTAAGCGGTTAGCCGCTGGCTTCCCACCACAGCAGCCCAGATTCAAACCCAGGTCTGGTCAAATGGGATTTGTGGTGGACAAAGTGGCACTGGGGCAGGTTTTCTCTGAGTACTTCGGTTTCCCATGCCAATCTTCATTCCACCAAATTCTCCATCATCATAAATCACCCGGGCCAGATACAGCAGGCCAATCAGTGACTGCCGTTCCAAGTGGACACAACTGGACTCCACCCCCCACTATGCGAATTAAAAAAAATTAATGTCAGAACTAACAAGTTTATGTGGCGTTTTGAACATCTTTGCGTGCTGACAAAAAATGTCTTAAAAGGAATTAAGTATAAATTAAATTGCTGGATTGTATGTATTATTGTATGTAGACCCATTGCTAGGCAACATGTACATGATGACTGTACATCACATGTTGCTAAGTAACAGCTGGTCAGAGAAGCATGCTTCTATGTCAGTAATTGCACTATAACAGAAGATCGGTGTTTTCTGTGTGGTGCGTGCCGAGATGTTGTAAGCAGGACAAGTTAGTGGATTGGGTCACTCAGTGGAGTGAAGTGAGTTGCTTAGTGAATTAGTGAGTGAGATAGGTAACTGCTTGGTTTGAGTTGTTGTGAGCTGTTGCTGTGAGAAGCTGGTAGCTTAAGGACGGGGACAGTAAGGAATCCATATTCATATCTTTATTTGTTCGAGAAATCCATATTTGGCGATGCAGCCTCCAGATATAGAACAAGTCAAGTGTTATCATAGGAAGGGGAATATCCATCGTTGCAAGTGCTGCCAAGCAATGGCTAGTGAAAATTGAGAAGACTTAGTGTGTCCTGTAGAGTTTGTAAAGTATGTAGAACAGTGAGAACATAATCGTTACTTGCATTACTGAGTTGTAGGAGTGCCATAAATCCAATTACCAATTCAAACCCCATCTATACTCACTAAAATCGTGATAGTATGAAGTATCAACAAAACTGAAATTTTCAGCTTTTTAACAAAGAAGGTGAAACGACTTACATTTCATGCATGGCGCAGTTTGTTAGTGTGGTACATTAAATGTGGTGGCCCCGTTGAAAGATTAATAACTTTATTCGAGTTCAGAATCACATGGCAGAAGGCTTGGCGTCTCTTTGTAGAAAAGAATTGGCACCGTACAAACTTGGACAAAAGTTAATTGCTCTGTCCTATGATAGTGATGTGGTCTTTAGTGGGAGGAAAAAATGGCATGCACATTTTATTCACAGTTATGGTCATCAGTTGAATTTAGTACTGAAACAAGCATGTTCCACAGTGAAATCAGCAAAACTGTTTTTTGTCAGTATGTCAGGATTTTCGTCCTTTCTGCTTCACCAGAGCATTCAGATTCGGCAAGAACTACCTGTAACCCCACTGTCCCTAAGGCCATGCATGGAAACACGATGGAACTTTCAAAGGAGAATTGTGAACTTGATGTACGTGTATACTAACAATGATTGCCTGCTTAAATGCTTTGACATTATTCAGAATGAAACTGGCTGGATGGCGTTTCAGTCAGAGAGAAAGGTAAGCCAGTTCGGTTGTTGAATGATAATGTATTCCTGTGTTTTACGCCTTTTCTCGTTCTGTTGTGTTGCATGCGAACGTTGTGTACACTATGCAAAAAGTGCTAGGCAGTGCAGTTAGTGTTCATAAAGCTGTTCTACTCTTTAAAGTTGGAATAAACGGTATTATGGAAATATAACTCAAGTGAACGCCAGTCCAGAACCTTTAACAAAACTTAGGCGGAAGGATCACAACATAAATGTTGAAGCGAAAGAAGTGAGTGACAAAATGGTGACATACACAGAGCTTCATTTCGAAGATGTAAGACACGCCCTGCCTTTTGCTCTGAACCACAGCTTCCCACTGGGCATGAAGAATATTTCTTAAATGAACTCGTAATAGTGTTAGGAAATATTATCCAGTACTTTCATGTCAGAAATTAAGGAGTGAATTTCTTCTCCACGTCATCCAGACCAGTTCTGGGGTCCACCCAACCTTCTATCCAATGGGTATGGGGGGGGGCTCTTTCCCTGAGGGTAAAGTAGCCAAGGCTTGAAACTGACCATTCACTTCCAGCTAGTGCCGAGGTTAAGAAAATGTGGATCTATATATCCACTCCCCCATATGCCTGCATGGCCTAATGCTTAGTTAGTTAAGCACAGGGACAACTTTACCGTTTTTGCCCGTTTTTATTGAAGTTACACACTTGCCAGTGTAAAATCTGCCTGTGCTCTTTGGAATTTAGTGGAAGTGTTGCCCTCTCAGAAGTACACAATACGGTGGAAATAACAATAAGAACACCCGCTTTCAGCTATGGATTCAGAACATTGTCTGAGTGCTCGAAACAAAGTGAAGACCTACCTTAGGAACTTCATGGGGTAGAACTGTCTTAATGCTCTGGTTGTTCCAAGTAGTCACAAAGAAGTAATTATATACACTCCAAAATTCAACCAGAAAGTGGTTAAGTTGTGTGCATTAGACGAAAATCGAAGAGAGCAGTTTCTTTATAAATAAGTTAACTTCAAATGAATAAATTACCTTGAAGCATGTGGTATAATAATAGTAATGGTATTGGCTCAGCTATCAAGACCAATTAATTAAAATGAATTTAATTTTTTTAAATTTGTCTTTGTGTGAAGATTATTTTCAATATTACTGCTATTAACATCTCAGCTATTGATGCCATACCAGAAATTTGAAGTCATCATATTAGTCTGTATTTCAGCCCCACTGTCCATTTAAAATTCAAGACACCACTGGCCCTAGCCCATCCAGAAAATTTGAATTAAAATTGTGAGTACTTTCCCAAACAGAGCAGGGCTCAGGCTATTCCTGAGGATGAGAGCATCAATTCATCTGATATACAAAAATGTTATGTAAATATTTCAGCCTTATTATTTAATAAGATTCTTTATCCACCTTTAAGAGACACTGAAAAAAAAACGTGGCTTTCCTATTGCTTAGACTTCCAGTGCTACAAATCTTGTGTTGTTAATTTTTCATTTAAATAGTATTAATTTGTAGCTCAAGATTGCAATGCAGATAGTTCAATGTGTTATCATGCTGAACTCTTGATTAGATAGTTATAGACTCTGGTTGTTGTGGTTATTATTGACTGGTGGTGGTGTTTTCTTTTTAGGAAGTTCATGCTGCTTAAGCATATACTTTGTAGGTGTTAAATTTATTGGACAGTATCTCAAAGATCTACACCTCTGTTATTTTGTAAACATTTAAATGTTAACTTATACATAATATTTCATACAGAATCTATAAAATATAACATTCATAGATTCGGTGTTAGCTGCCATATTGTTGTTTTGCATAAAAAACACTTTAACAAAAGTTGCATATTCTTTTAGGATTTATTAGCATCATTTCAGAAACTATATCAAGGCCAGAAATGTCACGCATACATCATACATTTGTGCATCAACCAAAACCTTATGATAGATTTTAAGGAATAGGAAATAATGAGGTTAAGGCAGCCTTTAATGGCATAATGTTCATATAAAATTATATGAAAATTCATCTCTAATTCAAAATTTTAAGGAGGGACATATAATAGCATGGGATGTGATCTGCCTAAATGTAAAGTTGTCCTTGCGATTAATCAAACATGACACCTTGTAGATATATTGGGACTGGAAGTGGTTCCTTGCATTCTTAGTCTTGGTAGTGAGTAAAGATGAGGGGTCAGCCTCACACCCTGACCACTTTACCATCAGGGAAAAGTTCTGTAATACCTTCTGGGTAAGAGGCTGGGTGAACCCTAGAACCTCTCAGGACTTTTTGAAAAGTTGATTCATAATGATTGCCATTGACAATGTTGAGAACTTCACAATGAACTGTGGTGATGATATATTACCTCTGTGGGTTCCAGGAGATATGGGCATAAATGTAAAAGCGTCCCTGTGCTATATGCCATGAAGACATATAGGGGATTAACCTCAGCACTAGATGGACAAAAGTGGTTAGCTTCACACCTCTGCTGTTCTACCCCTGAAGAAATCATCCTTCTGTACCAATTGGATAGGAGGCTGGATGGGTCCCAGATCTGGTCTGCACATTGTGGAGAAGAGAAAAACCTTGTCTCTGCTTAGAATTGAACCCCAGCATTCCAGCATGTAGCCCCTCTCTGTGCCAACTGAGCAATACATGTATATAAACATGTAAATTCATATAAATCTGGCAAAATTTGTTATATTTAAAGCTTAAAGAAATCTGTTTTCTAGAGTGTGAAATAAACCTATGATTAGGTGCAGGGTGACAGCACAGGTGAACCAAGGAGCTGCCTGGTGTAGCATAATTTTAAGGGTGATACACTGTACAGATATTTTCATTTTTTAAGAAAATTAATTATATATTTTATTGTAGTGGAATTTCTTAAAAACATTGATGTCACAGTACTCTATAAATATGCAGGGCAGTGTCATCCCTAAAGCAGTGGTCTAGTCTGTATGGTGGAGCTGTTCTGTTCATAGTAGTGAAAGGCTTAAAAGTCTGACAGATCGCTGTCTCAGTATATCATTATTTGACAATAATATGATTCTTCAAAGTAGTTCTATGTACTTGGTAATTTCTACACTTGGTCATTCAAGGACCCAAACAAGATTGAGGATGTACAGTGGACGCAGTAGTGAGTACTTGTGTGACTGGAAGGTGCCTCCACAAGTATGAACAATATATAAGATATAATCTTTGCACTTTGCTGCAATATGAGCTGTAGGCGTCAAACGATGATGTTGATGGCGACCCATGTTATAAGGGCAAGCAGAACAAAGCACAGTGTGTACACCAGAGTGTAATGTGCTATCTTCAACCTGAAAACAAAATTATTGCATTATTTTACCAAGCTCAGTATCTTACAGGCTTTGCTTCAAGGCACATAATCTAAATGCTAAAGTGCTGTGATTTATTTTATAAAGAATTAAGAGAGAAGTAGAGATGTGAACCTACGATTTCATGTAGACATTCTTTATTGTACAATCTTCTGTGTTTCAGTTTTCCACATAAATGAGATAAGTGGCAGAAAAGTAGGTTTACAGTTCCTTCTTTTCTTAGTCTGTGTAATTATTGGTTAGGTTTTAGGAGAGCAGAATATGAAATATAAGAAAATAATACTTGTAGGTAAGCATTTGAACATATGATTATTTTTCTTTCATTTTTTCTTTTCGTGGCCAACTTACTGACGCGTGGTATTTATATTAGTATAGAGTATCTAGATTATTAGCCAGTCACGGTAGCCGAGCTGTCTAAGGCATGCACTGTCTTCGCTCGCTCGAAGCCAAGATCGTGGGTTCGAATCCCACTAAGGGCATGGATGTTTGTGTGCGTTTTTCTGTGTTTGTCTACAGGTAGAGGCCTTGCGACGAACTGATCACTCGCCCAAGGAGTCCTACCGTATGTGTAAGATCTAGTAAACCGAAGTGAAACGGAGAGTTTTGTGGCGGTAGGCCTAGGCCCAAATGAGGGCTGTAGTGCCAAGAGGGGAAATATAAAATCTAGCTTATTAGACGTTTTGGCTGCACCTTCTATAGCGTTTCCTTGCAACTTCTAAGGTGTCAGGTGTTTCTTCTGCCATATGGATACGCAATCCCTGCATGGAGGCCTTGAACACAGACTCCCAGTCAATGTCAGCAATGTTGAAGTCAAAGAGCCGTTGATCTAGTGGAGTCATCCTCCTCCACACAGCTTGCACATTATGGTTCGTGAATTTCCATTGTTGAGTACAGAAGTACGAAATCACATCAACAAACTTGTGAATTTTCTTGTAAGCATTCCATAAACTGAAAGAGATGACAAGTTTCTGACATTATCATGTTTCTTTGGTATTTGCAACAGAAAATAGGGGCAAAAAACTCACCATAAAAATAGCAGTTTGTTAGGAAGTGTTATCAGTACTTAAGTTTAGAAACTCACATTGGCTCTTTCCCAACAACTCTGGCTGCAGTGTCCACAATGAGGGCTGGCAAGAAGTGTAGAAACACAGTACACAAGTTATGCATGATCCTATGCTTATGAAGTTGGAAGCAGTAGTACCACATCACCTTCATAGATGGAAACTCTGTCCCACACTCATTAAACTTCATGTACTGACCCCATGTGATAGGATTTTGGGTTGAAGATACATAGTTCAAGATGGAAATATCATCTGGACCTGAAAGACTCTCTGTGAGTTTTGTAAGTTGATTTTTCTCTGCTTTCAATCTGAAAATTAAATGCAATTTTCCATTAATACTCTGATAAAGTTTAAAGTGTCCTAGTATGGGGTTTCAACTGAGACAGGTTTACTGTAACTGCATGATAATCATTCATTTTACAGACATTTTCCAAGTGCTTTGATATGTTCATTGTACGGAATACAAAAAATGAATGTATTCTGTCTGTCTGCCTGTCTACACAGCCCAACTACCTAATGGATTCCAGTTAAATCTGTGTGGAGGGGTTCCACATTAAAAGTTGGTGCATCCTGACCAGTTACAAAAGATATTTTACAAAGAATCCAAATTTTATTTCATATGCTATTGTGTATATGCTCTCGCTAAGAGAAATATACCTATTACAGATGTCTTGACAATAAAACATATCGAGATGTGAATGGAATGGCTATAGAAGGGTTTCGGATTGATGACTTGCTTTATTGCATACTTTGATACAGTGTGTGACTACACTTTACAGTACACTGTTACACACCCACACTAGTGTCCACAGTCACATCTTCACTGCTGTTGCGTGGTAGCAGCTTCAGATGTCGGACATTCCCCGTCCTCTGGGTTTCCAAATGGTCTCCGGCCTCAGCTGCCAGCTTCTCACAACGACTGAACCCTCATGGTCCTCTCACTAACTCACCAACCAACTATTATTCAATTCACTAACTACATAGCTTATAACATCACAGCACATACCACATAGAAAAGGCGGATCCTCTGTTACAGTGCAATTGTTGCTGTGGAATTGTTGTCTTCATGTCTGCTGGCAGAACCGTTACCTAGCAACGGCTGCTATATACTATATATGAGTTTTGTTTTTCCTATCAAGCACAACAGTATACCAAGCAACTCACTCAGATTTCACCATGCATAACTGAGTTTATTTTTTGCACAATGTCGCAACATATGTATGTGAATCACAGTCACTGGCTTCCCACCGCAGCAGCCCGGGTTCGATCCCAGGTCTGATCAAGTGTGATTTGCGGTTGACAAAGTGGTGGTGGGGCGGGTTTTCTCCGAGTACTTCGGTTTCCCCAGCCAATCTTCATTCCACCAAATTCTCCATCATCATAATCACCCAAAGCAGGCTACGATAGGCCAATCAGCAGCTGCTGTTGAGGTTACCACATTATCTAGACAATCAGCTCACAGATGGCGGTAAGTTTGTCAGCCTTACGCGCCGGCCACGCTTTACTACCCAGAAACATTATTTAATGAATTCGTTAGAGGCTGAGTCGACCCCAGGGCCATAGTGCGGCCGGAAGGATTAGGTCAATTGAAAAAAAAATCTAATGACCTCATCGGGACTTGAACCCGCGACCTTCCAGCTTGTAACATAGTGCCTCAATCAACTAGGCTACTGCGTGCCCCCGCTTCCTTTCACATTCTTTCCAATTTATCATTTGATCATCCAACCATGACACTTTTTGGAACTATTGACAGCATCGTTAAATAGATAAAAAACAGAGAGAATCTCCAGTGTCACACTTTGAAAGTACTTTTCAGCAAGTGACTGGTACAAGTTATTTACCTATGTCTTGTTGCAACATCCCATGCAGTGGCAATCATCATATTAACGACCATGTCAACAGGAACCAGTTCTGCTATCATGTCTCTGTCACAGTGCATAGTCCTCAGAAGTCCCAGTCCTGCTCCAACTACAACTCCTGTAGCTCCATAAATGTTGTTGATCCAACCAGGGAAAGGTTCTCGTGCAGTGGAAATCACTGGAAAACAACAGTCTTGTGAGGGTACTGGCAGAATTTTTGTATGAGATTCCAAGTTCTCAACAGTGATGATCATGAAGATGTGACATTTTGTAGTCTGGTAGATGTTTACTGTCCTTTTCCCTACATCTCCACCACTTTTTCCATACCAAGCTTACTCTTCTACCTTGAAGATGGTGGCAATACATACCTCTAAAACATTGTCATATGTCACAGTATTCCCCAAAATTAATCTATATGCATTAACATGCATAAAGCGGCCTCCGTAGTCTAGGGGTAACATTCCCACCTCATGACTCAAGGTACGCGGGTTCAAACCCAGCGGAGGCCGTGGAATTTTTAAGGGCAGAAAAATTCAGGGAACAAGTCCTCTGGGAGGGACTTTAAGCTGTGGGTCCCATGTCATAGATTTACGGCACATAAAAAATCCTCATGTCTCTAGGAGACCTCTGAGCAAAATTAAGTAAAAAGTTTCCTGCCCAAGTAGTTTCCAATGCCTCTGGTAGATGGGGAAGTATTGGGTACCACTGCCAGTAGAGGAGCCGAACTCGCTGGCTGAAAGGGGCTGGTAGCAAGCACCAGTACCGGAAAGGTATGGCGACTGGTAGAATGTCAAAAGGGTACGTACAATAGATCAACAACTGGTCACGGTGCATGGGGAAACCCACCCCCTCCAATAATGAATGAATGAATGAATGAATGAACATGCATAAAGTGAGATTTAATAGATATTCTATAAGTCAATAATTAATTATTAGTCAAATTTTTATTTGCTTACATTCATTGAGAAATATTTCTCTTCCAGTCATTTGTCTTGATAAACTTTGTGTCTTTATATTGAGACCTGAAAAGTTTTATATTATTTATCATTGTGTTGAAGATATCATACCTATGACAGTTATTTGCCACCTTCTAATGGTGGATGCCTGGTGTCGATCCCAGGACAGACCATGTGGGATTTGTGGCATACGGAGTGACATGAGACAGCCTTTTTCAATACTTCTATTTCCCCCTTCCTGATATGATTCCAACAGTGCTCCAAACTCTCCTATCATCATGAGCTGGTACATTAGACCCAAATGAGGCTATGGTGAAAGACATTTGGTCTAACCCCACTTTTATCAATACATATTATACAAGGCATCTTTGTACATATTTACAAGGTACAGTCACTTCCTAACTACCAGCCAACAACCTCTCAGCACTACACATTCATTCCAGTATAACCCAAGAATAACCGTGGCTTGAGTGTCGTCAGTAAATATCACTTAAATGGTTTATACTTGTATGAAGAGGTGTGCAGTTTTGGAAATAAAAGTATGAGTAGCATCAAGCTGTATGCTGAAAAGTGGTTATGACTGTGAATTGTAAAAATGAGGAGCAATGTATTAAGTACCACTGTTTTCAGTGTGGTGTAATATGCTGCCAGATGATGTAATGAATTATATGAGGGGTATTCGGGAACTAAATTGTGGTGAGCTGTTTTCAAAACAAGCAATGAGGAAAAGAATGTGTTATATGCAAAAAAATACATACATACTTATGCTACTTCTCAACATAGTCACCATCAGAACTGAGGCACTTGTCATATCTGGGAATAAGTTCTTATATGCCTGTATTGAAGTCTGCCGCTTGTGAGCTCAGCCACATTTCATCGACACCTTCTGTCAGCTCCTAATTATTATTGAAATAGTCTGATCCCAACCAGCTCTTCAAGTAGATAAACAGATGGTAGTCGTTTGGAGTGAGATCATGGCTGTAAGGATGGTGGTCAAACAACTCCCAGTTGAAACGCTCTAGCAATGCTCGAGTGCAAGCAGCTGTGTCCAGACACGCATTGTCATAGAGGAGAACTTCACCATATGTCATTGTTCTACCCCTTTTCTTCTGAATGATCCTATGCAATTGTTTTAGTGTTTTGCAATACACTTCTGACGTTACTGTGGTCACTTGTTGCATGAATTCCACCATTAGCACTACTTTTCTGTCCCAGAAAACAGATGCTCCCAGCTTTCTGGCAGACGTTTATTTAAACTTTTTCGGCTTGTTTGGTGAATGTGTGTGCATCCACTGTTTTGACTGCTCTTTGATTTCAGCATTCACAATGTAACTCAGATAGACTTGAAAGGATTCTGACGATGGTGTATACTGTACTTCTTTTGGCTTATTTTGGACTTCACCCATCGTCCGGTATATAAAAGACAAAAAACCACGACGTTTCAGAGACTGGATCTGTCTCCATCTTCAGGTGGATAGGGAAGGTTAAACCTACTCAGTCCAAAATAAGCCAAAAGAAGTAATGTAACTCAGGTTTCATCACCTGTAACTCATACGATGTGACTGAGAAATCCATCGCCATCTTCGTGGTATCGCTCTAAAGAAGTCAAAGTCAATGTCATTCTGTGCGCACACATGAGCATTTTCGGAACCCATCTTGCTCAGAACTTGTGATAGCCTAGCCTAACTGTGATAATCTCATAGAGGAGAGTGCGTGAAATTTGCGGAAATCTGCACAAAATTTCGAAATTGTGAAGCGCTGTGTTCCACAGTTTCTTTGGTTAACACTTTGAACAAGATAATTACTTATTACAGATAGCCAGAAACTTCACTCTTGATCGTGAACATTTCTTTGCCCTTCTTTGAACATTCTACACCATTGTCTTACAGTTCCTTCTTTTGCCAAATTTGGCCATAATTCGCCATGAATTTCCACAGCAATTGTGCTTTTAGCATAACGAAACAGCAGCGCATTTTGCTGCTGGCGGGATTTTCAATTGCATGACACATCATGACTCACTCTGTAGAGACAAGAACAAACACTAGGTGTCCAGTTATGGGATGATTTACAAGGCAATGAGTCATGTAACACTACCTCATGAGCGCAATCTTTGCCTTGCTCCTACATTAGTTGCCCAAAATAAATAGAGGTTACTTTCCAAATATTCCTCACATGTGAAATTTTATTAGAAAATGTCTGAGATAATTTTATCATGAACTTCTCAGGGTTACAATTTCAAACACCAGACATCCATAAAGTTACTATTAAAGTTGGGTTTATTGGGTCACTTGCGTACAAGAAACTCCTTAAAAATGTCATATTCTTATTGAAAATAAAGTGGGCAGAATAAGATTACATTAAAATACCATGACAGTCACTGAGATGGCTTACACACATTTCAGAATCAACACTGACAAAAATCATGAAATTGCATGAACTTTGGCCATGAAAGACAGTGTTTTAGAAATTGCTTGTAAAGGATTTCAGCACCTTTTATTCTGATTTGATTTCTAAGCTCTCATGGAGCAATTCTAGACTTGTATTAGAATTAACTGTTAGCAATCAACAGAAGGCAGACTGTCACTTACTGATAGCCAAGAAGTGACAAACGCATCTAAATATGTATGACGATACACTACATTATACTATGTACTTTTTAGTACTGAAAGAGAAACGAATTATGAAGTCCTCACCTACAGCAGGTCGCACCACCGCTAGTGGCAGACCCTTTCCAAATTCTTGTACTGTAACTTCAGCAATCGCTTTTGTGAACGCATACGTGTTCGGCCAGTTCTTCAGTAACCTGCAGTTAATAACCATTCACATCAGTTTACTTTCACTGAAATATTAACATCAGAACAAGCACAGAAAATCACACTCAACAAACACAAATTTCCAAAATACTTTAATTCTAATTCATCCAACAAGCATATCAGTTTCTGAAAATGTTCTTTCTCGTGTAGAACTGCTGTCAAATTGCAACGCAGTACTCATTAAGAACGAAATATGTTTTGCTTATTTTAGTATGGTTTATAATATGAAAAGCATGCTTATGGCATGAGAGTCATATACTATTAGTGTAACAACATCCATATGTAACATTGTTGATTTAATATTTACAAATAAGAATTCAAATGTAATTTTGTTTTATGTCAGAAATATTTATTTTGTATCTAAGACAGTAATTTCAAAAAGGAGGATTATGAATGAGAAAGAGATTTGTGACCTTCATCCCATATAAAACAGAAATGATATGAAAATGATGAGGAGGAGGTCTCTAAAGTACTGTCTGCCATAATCTGCGTTATGGAACATTTACAGATTTATTTAGTGGTATGAAAAAATTACAAGTACTCATTGGCCCATTATGTCCAATTTAATAATCTGACAATGATTGAACATGACATACAAACTTCCATCAACACACAACAAAATGAGGAGTTCTGTCTTCTGGGATATAAGGCCATATAGTCCATTGAAAGTCAACTGATGGAGGAACATGTCGCTGCCATCTTCAGTATTGAAAAAGCATGTGGCAACAGAGCTGCCAGGGATGGAACTCTTAATAAAAATTGCTGTGAAAACCTTAAATGCTACATATACAATAAAATGTTTAGGTCTCTATACTCACAGGGGAGTCATTGCAGTCAGCATATCTTCATTAAGCAGTTCCACTAGCTGTATTACACTGTCATACTGCAAGTGCACTGGGTAGAACTTCTCCTCTATGTGTTTTATGGGGCAGTTTGCATAGGCAGATGATACATGAATGAAGGACTGAAGAGAAACATATAATTAGGAAATAGAAATACAGCAAGAAGGTATATATGAAATAAATGGAAAAGACATAATTAAGAAGCAAGCAGACAAAGGAAGCTAGGATGTAAGTAAGGGATTTTCGATAATAAATCTCTTTGCCTCTCCTCTGAAGTATTTGTCAGCATAACTTAATCATTCTCCGTTCTTAATAATTTCTGTTTACATACATTACTGCAGCCTTCCCATGCCTGTAAAAGCAAATGCTACCAGCTGCTTACATTGTTAGGTGGCAATTGTGTGGCCAATATAAACGTGAATTAAATCCAAAATGTATTTCTCTCTGAATCCATTACATGATTTTATCACATAAACTGTACCATAATTGTCAAGATATAGTGGGGCCATCTTAGAGCTTCCCACAAATCACTGAGCTCCAGAGGCAGATGTCTGACACTCCTCCCCTAGAACCGGGCTGCAGATCCAGATTGCAACAGATGCTCCATACTTGTGAATTACTGTACATTGCACAGACATAAAAGACCGTCCCTGTGGTCTAGTGGTCAGATATCCTGCCTATAGATCCAGAGGTCCCGTATTCTATTCCCGGCGCTACCAGATTTTCTGAGAAATAGTGGGTCTGGAACGTGATCCACTCAGCCTCGTGAGGATAATTGAGGAGCTATTTGGAGGAAATAGTAGCTCCAGTCTAGAAAACTGAGATTAACGGCCGTGGGGATCCGTTGCGCTGGCCACGCAACACCCTCTATCCGCTAAAGTTGGTACTAACTTCGACAAGCGTCGGTCGCTCGGTCCGTATAGTTCGCTTGCGGACTAAAACCAGGGAGTTTGTTTTGTTTATGTCGTCAGCTGTAAGACCGCGTTTATGTACCGCCATTGCCCGTGTCCATCCATGAACTTCGTGATCGGATAACGCACGCACTGCGGGCCATTACAGCGGCCATGCTACACCGGGTCTGGGATGAGTTTGATTACCGTGTTGATGTGTGCCGTGTGACCCAGGGTGCACACATTGGAGGTTTGTAATTAGTATATGAGAAACTTGGACAGTTGCCGCATCTGACTGTATGTTGTGCCCATGTAAGCTGAGAAATAAAATTCTTATGAACTTTTGAAACCGCGCCATTCTTTTGTGCATACCCTGTATTTCACGATATAAGTGTGTGCCAAGTCAAGGAAGATGGCATGGACAGGACATGAAGCACGCAGAGAGAAGAGTGGTAGGTAAACCCGAAGGAAAGAGCCACTACGAAAACATAGAAGTAGATGTGAGGATAATATTAAAATGGATCTTAGAGGAAGAGGATTGAGCGAGTGGACTGGATTCATCTGGCTCAGGAGAGGGGCTAGTGATGGGCTCATGTGAACACGATAATGAACCTTTGGGTTCCATAAAATACTGGGAGTTTCTTGGGGCCCGAGCAAGTGTTTACATTTCAAGAAGGATTCAGCCCCATTGCCATATAATTTATGTTCACTCAGTACTGTTTTTAGTGGAGTTTTCCATGCCATGCTTTGTTCTCAGACAATGAATACAAGGTGTCCGAATATTACGGTGGTGTTTCGGGAACGAGTATTTAAAAAATGAGAAATATATTTGTTTTAAAGTACACCTCAGATAGTTTTGAACACAAGCAGCAAATACGCACATGTGCAATATTCGTGACTCTGTGCATGCCCAACTGACACTCCACGTGTTGCCCTACACGCTCCAGCAAAGAGAGAGGAAAAATTTGTACTTATAGACAGCAAGCTTACAACCTTCCCACCATTAGCCCGAATATAATGGATTTTTTTTTTTTTTTTGCAGGACAAAATCAAACCAAACGAGACTACAGACACTACAGCGTGAACTGTCGCAATGGTAAGTGAAAATAAGCATGAATATCTCCACAATTTTATTGTACTTACAACTCATTTCATAATGAATTAAAATTATAATAAAGTGGAGAGTTTATATGGGACCCGTGATAGCGCATTCGGTATAGCGACTGGCTACAGGCTGGACGACAGAAGAGTCAGAGCTCGAGTCCCGGTAAGGTCAAGAATTTTATCTTCTCCAAATCGTTCAGACCGCTCTGGGGCCATCCAGCCTCCTATCCAATGGGTAAAGCGGCAGGGGCGTGAAGCTGACCACTCACCTCCAGCTAGTGCCCAAGTAAAGAAAATGTAGATATATACCTCCACTCCCCCATACGTCTTCATGGCATAGTGCTTAATTAATTAAGCGTAGGGACAACTTTTTTTCCCCCTTGGCACTACAGCCCCAGTGGGCCTAGGCCTACCTCCATGAACTTCTCCGTTCACTTCGGTTTTTATAGATCTTGCACATTCGGTAGGACTCCTTGGGCGGGTGATCAGCTCGTCGCAAGGCCTCTACCTGTGCACAAACACACAAAAACGTACACACACAAATTAAACATCCATGCCCTGAGTGGGATTCGAAACCACGATCCCGGTTTCCAAGCGAGCGAAGACAGTACATGCCTTAGACCGCTCGGCTACCGTGACCGGCAGGGACAACTTTACCTTGAAGAAGCTCGAAGCTGTGAGTATCGAGACTATGAACATGTTACGATAAGGAGAAAGTGTGGTCTATGGGAAGAATAATGTAATATCAAGGTATAAGTAAACAAAGAAACATCTGTGCTTTCATATAGATGACCATGGGACGCAACCGCATGTGCGAAAATAGTTTGCAGTCCTGTCTTCACAGTCCCGTGCGCTGTTTCTTGATTTTCTGACTAGTATGTCTAAGCGCAAGAAGAAGAGAATTCCGTTTAATTTCTCCACCTCACCCCCCAATCACCCCTTCACAGTTATCAGATGTTCCTGGAGGGCTGTATATATTTCGCCATTTGTCACTTGCCGCAGAAAACTGTGTAAAATGCACACGAAATAACTACTAGTGTTGCATTTTCCGGTTGTAAGTTGTTTCCTTAACACTTGAAACAGCTGAGGGGGCTGCAATCGCATTTCCCATAAGGCTGTCCTTAACAAATAATTGAATATCCTGTCCCGGAATAAAAAAAAACTTTTTATTGGGTACAAGAACGTAGTTTCACCAAGTGATTCAGTCACCGAAACGCGTCATCAGCAACAAATCGAAATGGAACACGTTTCATCTGGTCGTGAAGTGATTTGTCTGTTAACAAATGCTAGATCCCAGCGCTTCACTCAATTGGGGGAGGGGGGGGAATTGTGTTTTATTGAGCTTCCCTATGAAACTCTTCCCTTGCAATCACCATCATTCTGCGACTGTAGAGGAATGTGTCGCACCAACTGCAGAACGAGGCACAACACAGTAGGCGTACTGCCCTCCCTAATCGAAATGTGCAGTACCACTTCGTACTGGTGCTTCTACCTTAACGGGTTTACCGTGAGCATGAGCGCATGTATGTTTATTTCGAGTGACAATTCTGCAATGTAAACGCGATAGAAGCTTAATTAGAAACCCCGTGTAAATGGAAGACTATGTAAAGATAGCAGTAATTCAAGGGAGAGATGAAGTCACAGGAGGTTGGAGAAAACTGCATAATGAGGAGCTTCATAACTTGTACTCTTCTCCAAGTATAATTAGAATGATCAAGTCAAGGAGGACGAGGTGGGCAGGTCATGTAGCACGAATGGGGGAGACGAGGAATGCATATAGAATATTGGTGGGAAAGCCAGAAGGAAAAAGACCAGAAGGAATACCAAGGCGTAGGTGGGTGGACAATATTAGAATGGATCTTAGAGAGATAGGATGGTATGGATTGGATAGATCTGGCTCAGGATAGGGACCAGTGGAGGGCTCTTGTGGACACGGTGTTGAACCCTCGGGTTCGATAAAATGCTGGGGAATTCTTGAGTAGCTGCAGAATTGGCGGCTCCTCAAGAAGGGCTCAACTCCATGAGTAAGTAAGTAAGTAATATTACAGTAGCAGAAGGCCGTGCCATAACTCAGCCGGTTAGTCGCCGGCTTCCCACCCCTGGTCAGATCATGTGGGATTTGTGGTGGACAAAGTGACGCTAGAGCAGATTTTTCTCGAGTACTTCGGTATCCCCTGCCAATTCTCATTCCACTGAGTGTTCCACATTCATCATCTTTCATTCGGAGCTGGTGCAATAGGCCAAACAGTTGCCGACGTACCAACTGGACTCAGTCTCACCCCACCCCAAGAAACTAAAAACACTAAAAAAACATCAGCAGAAAATAATATAATCTTAGTGCGCGTGCTAAACAGATACCGTATGTGAAAAGAAGCCGATGAAAGAAGTGTCGGTCGAGATTTAAAGACAAATTCGAAACGATTCGGTGTCGCGTACATATTTGTCGCTTTATCATAGAACCTGAAAAGAAACGGAAAAATTGTATTCGATCCGGTCCAGAAAGTGATGGAAACAGCGAATATTTAGGCTCGGTAATTGTCCTGGTGCCGGTCACGGTAGCCGAGCGGTCTAAGGCATGTACTGTCTTCGCTCACTTGGAAACCGGGGTCGTGGGTTTGAATCCCACTCAGGGCATGGATGTTTAGTTTGTGTGTGTGCGTTTTTCTGTGTTTGTATACGGGTAGAGGCCTTGCGACGAGCTGATCACCCGCCCAAGGTGTCCTACAGAATGTGTAAGATCTAGAAAAACCAAAGTGAACGCAGAAGTTCATGGAGGTAGGCCTAGGCCCACTGGGGCTGTAGTGCCAAGAAAAAAAATGTCCTGGTTGACGCACCTACAGTATGAAAGCGTCGGTCTAACCGTCCGTCCGTACGATCGACCCGTGGGCGGTAGAGGGCACTGGAGAGGTCCAAGTTCTCCCTCAACCCGAGGGGTCATTGTATTCCTTCAAGAGAAATAAACTGTTCAGGTACCATGGATGCGCAATCCCCGTGTTAAAAATGTTATTCTTGACGCCTAATGAAGTCAAGGTTACTAATATTAGATACTGTGTTACACAAAAAGTAAAATCTGACAATGTGAACTTTTAAATAGTAAGGCAGAATTTCCCGTCTTTCCTTTACTGTAGTCGTTTTCGGAAGACGTCAGATTTTATTCGGACATGGCCCCTCCCGTTCAGATGGTGAAGAGTCATCACCGATAAACACCATAATTTGTGTTTCACCTTTGTTTCTGTACAGCAAGGGCGGTACGCGACATGTCCAACGTATGTCTCAGTTTGTCTATTTAATGTTTATATGTTGTTATACCAAATTCTTTTAACCGGTTTTCGCGATTTACCAAATTTGTGATAACGTAGAATCTAAAGGTGTCTGACGATGGTGAATAAAATTCCGAATTGCTGGGTTTCGGACTTTCCCCATCGCCCGGTATTCTAGAAACTAGGAAACACAGCGTTTCGGAAACTGGATACGTTTCCATCATCAGGTGAGAGGGGAAGACACCTACTCAGTTGGATCCCTTAGAAAGAGCTCACCTCAATCACTGGTCCAACTGAGTAAGTGTCTTCCCCCCTCACCTGAGGACGGAAACAGATTCATTTTCCGAAACGTTGTTTTCTAGTTTCTAGAATATCGAATGATGGACAAAGTCCAAAAACCCTTGTAATAACGTGTTCTACCGAATGGATGCGAACACTTTGGGTGATACAAATGCCCTGTCCTTCATTTCACCTTACATAATCAGCTTCTGTAATTGATTCATTGTCTTAGATAATACAAGAATCAACAATATGACATAAAAGGAATTAGAAATAATAGGACAAGTGGCTTCAGAGTGGAAGGCCATGTCACCTCAGACTATACCTTGAGATATGGCATGTCCCGCGCAAGTTCCAACATGCACTTGGTACCCCGCACGTTGACGTGGACGGCCGTTCTCAGGGTCTCGTCGAACCTGACAGTTGCCGCGATGTGGAACACAATGTTCACTTCTTGACAAAGTAGTTCACGGTCAGCGTCTCCGAGACCCAATTCGGGTAGTCCGCAGTCCCCAGCCACAAGTCTCACTTTGTTGAAGTACTCGGGACAGGCCTTCTTCATGGAATCGAACAGCTAGACACAACGTTAGGAAACAATTCGGCTTTAATACAGTACCAGGATGTCAATAAAATATGCTTGATCTTAACCAAACGCATAAAATTGATTGTGAGTTACATTAATCTATCAGTGTCGCAAACAGAAGGGCAGTAAGCTGCGTAGATAAGTCAATAAGTAAGTTACAAATGGATATAGAACTTAAACAAATAAGAGTACTGATTTGAAAAATGCTTTTATTTCTCAACATAATCTGCCTGTACATTGAGGAACTTGTCCCATCTTTTCACAAGCCCCTGAACACCAGCAGCATAAAATTTTTTGGGCTGCTGTCGGAACCAGGCGGTGACTTCCCTTTCTACAGCTTCACCGTCGGGAAAATGTTCAGCCGAAAGATGATGTTTAAGAGGGCCGAACAAATGGAAGTCGCATGAAAGGTTAGGTTTTCACAAAGTCTGTGCACGATGCTGACCCCACAACACAAAATGCAAAGAATGGGTCAGGCATTACAGCATCTCAATCGCTACCACGATGAAGGACACGATATGCTAGGCCGAATTGTCACAGGTGATGAGTCTTGCTCCAAGCGACTTCCATTTGTTCGGCCCTCTTAAACATCTTCTTTCGGCTGAACATTTTCCCGACGCTGAAGCTGTAGAAAGGGAAGTCACCGCCTCGTTCCGACAGCAGCCCAAAGAATTTTATGTTGCTGGTTTTCATGGGCTTGTGAAACGATGGGACAAATGCCTCAATGTACAGGGAGGTTATGTTGAGAAATAAAAGCATTTTTCAAATCAGTACTCTTATTTGTTTAAGTTCTATATCCATTTGTAACTTATTTATTGACTTACCCTCGTATTTCGCGAGCGCGTCCAGGCCGAAGCTCTGAACGTTGCTTCCCTCAGCACGAGCTATTCCGCTTAGAAGACCACAGATGAAATACCGGGGAGGAAATGGAAGGATAATATTAAACTTATTGAGTTTAAGGCGCACACTATAGTAGCTATGAAGAGTTCTGTCTTCTGGGATATTTCCAAAGATATATTTCTTCACTGTTAAACTTCATCTTAAAGAAAGTTATTCAAAGACGTGAGCTCGATTGAACTAGCTCAGAAATTAGCTATATTCTACGTAGGGGTCCCTTAGCTTACTTACTCAGTCGCTTAATTTTTTTTTATTTCTTTTAAATTCATGATGTGTATGTGTTGACCGTCTTCTAGTGCATACAATCTCACATGTCACTTCACTATATGTTTCGGCAACACTGTGCCATCCTCAGGTGTGTCACCTACGTTAAACTATTGCACTGCTCGTCATCATGTGTCGTTTATAAAATGATTTAAAATGTATATTCGTCATGTACTATAATAATATTTATATATTAAAATTTGTTAAGATTTATCATCCTATACGTCGTATTTCAAACTCGCGTATTATATCAATCTTCCGCTATGGGAATCGTTCTTGCTATATTTTGTGTATACTGCGTCTTGTGATGTGCCCTTCTCTTGTGGTGCGTGCGTTGTAATCTTTTAAATTCGCTTAGTTGGGGGTGGAGTCCGACTGGGTCAACTCGGCACGGCGGCCACTGATTGTCCTATTGTAGCCTGCCCCGGGTGATTATGATGATGGAGTATTTGGGTGGAACGAAGATTGGCAGGAGAAGTCGAAGTACTCGGAGAAAACCCGCCCCAGCGCCACTTTGTCCACCAAAAATCCCCCTTGACCAGACCCGGGATCGAACCCGGGCCGATGCGGTGGGAAGCCAGCGACTAACCGCTTGAGCTATGGCGCGGCCCAGTCGCTTAATTACACGGCCTATTAAGCTGGCTCAAAAGGTAACGTTTCTGACTTCCATTCGGGAGATGCTGGGTTCGAAACAGCCGGGATATCGACTAAATGATTGGGGGGTTCCGTGATTGTCTTCGGTCTCGCAATCCGACGCTACATAGAGTGACGTGCTGACAGCGGCTTTAAAGTAACCACAAAAGTAAAACATTTGTTTGCTTTTTTTACTCAGTTTCGGTATGATGCCGATAACTTGAGTGTGTTTGCAGTATAGCACGTAAGCGTGTCAACAGCACTACTGTGGAATTTTATTTCAGTGGGTAGTCAACATTATCAACACGACCAGATATTTTCGATTACATGTGGACGGTGTACAATAACAAAAATGATCGATACCTAGACAAACTAAGTTATATAATTTTAATTCCTGGGAGTGATATGACTGCTTCAGAATTGAGCGTGCATATACAGTTGGGTGCTGATTATTCTTCTTCACGTGATTTAACGAATTTCTTATTATAATGTTCAAGCATATAGTTGAATTTGAATATATTTGCATATTGCACATTTCAATATATTGTGACATGAAGCCTGAAAGTCTGAATAGTGGAGACAGAGCTAGACGTCCGTTGATAAACAACGGCTAAGTTTCCGTTACAACAGCACGAACGAGTCATTACCAGGTGACAAGTTGCTAAACACGCATTACCACCCGGTCACAGTAGCCGGTCTAAGACATGAACTGTCTTCTCTCGTTCGGACTCTGGAATCGTGGGTTCGAATCCCACTCAGGGAACGAATGTTTGGTGTGTGTATGCGTTTATTCTGTGTTTTTTGTTGTCCTGTGTTTAGATAGAGGCTTTGCGGCGGGCTGATCACTCGTCCAAGGAGTCCTATCATCTGTGAAAAATAAATATGGAACTGAATAAGAGGCCTGGGCCCTGAATGGGCTAGAAGAGCCATTAAAAAAGACACACGCATTACCGTGGCAACGAACACGCAGGTTACAACAGACGAACCATACAAGTGTGTATTGTGTTCGCGGTCCGCACCGGGATCCATAATTCCTCGCTCGTGGATTCTTCTACGCTGAAGATGGAGGCGATACGTTCCTCCGAAACGTCGGTTCACGCAAGATCTACACGGTGCCTCATCCCAGAAGACTGCATTCTTTACGTACTAGTCCGTTCTCAACGCTTCTACATATTTTATAAAGAGTCACACTACGAATTGATGTAGTTGACATGAACTGCTGAAGTGAAAATGCACATTATTTCATCGGGCGAAACCGCCAGTTACGGTTCATTAGGCATCAGGTTTCTATTCGTGCACACCTACTGTCCTTGTTTATAAAATAGGCTGTTCCCTGCAGAAAGCGCAGTGTATTTGGTGAAATCCACTAACCTAGGTAAGTATTCTAGGATGGGTTAGTCGTGCAGAAGCTATTAAAAAGTAAAAAAAAAAATTACGGTATCCCTGTAACAGGTCGTGGAGGCCCATAGGGTTGTGAGATGTTGAGGTTCCCACATTTTCCAGACAATCGGCTCATAGATGGCGGTAAGGTTGTCATCCTTACTCGCCGGCCACCCTATACCCCCAAGAATATTCCTGATACTCATTTCTCTTAGAGGCTGAGTCGACTTCAGGACCATAGTGCGGCTGGAAGAATTAGGTCAATTGAAAAAATCTAGTGACCTCATCGCGACTTAAACCCGCGACCTTCCGGCTTGTAGCATAGTGCTTCAACCAACTACGCTACCTCGTGCCCCTGCAGAAGCTATTACAGTGTAAAATTTTCTTTTTGGTGCATCGTGTGTTAGTATTCAAAATACTGTGGACATTTTCGTGACGCCACTTCTTAAAGAGCACGTTAATTGGTGAAGTTTTGCACCGCTAATTGTGCCAGGTGATAAAGTATATGTTTGTGTTGTCCTGTGTGTAGGTAGCGACCTTGCGACGGCCTGATCACTCGTCCAAGGAGTTCTACCGACTGTGTAAAAATGATTACGTAAATGAAGAAGAGGTCAGGGCCAAACAAAGGGCTGTAGAGCTGTTCATGAATGATAAAGCATATAAACCTAAGGAAAGGGAATGTGGTAGAGGAGATCCAGTTGACTTCAAGTGATTACAGAAAAATAGTAGAGACAACCGATGTATCATAAAATCAGTCGGGCGAATTAATTAAGAACTTGACGTGGTTATATCCGATGCATTAATATCGTTTCCAACATTTTATACAAGGCTCGAAAGTTCCCGATGACCGTATTTGGACAGCTTCAATGAAGCAGTAATTCGTCATACAGTAAAGGAATTGTACATCACAGACAGGCACGGAATGTCACCAAAGAAAGTACATACAAAACTAAAACAGACAGCAGACTCTCAGGGAAGCATTAAGGGCAATTCCTCGTACCTTGAATTTTCGATGGAGAGGGATTAAATACGGACCGCCTCTGTGGTCTAGTGTTCAGAGTTCCTGGCTACAGTTCCTGAGGTCCCGGGTTCGATTCCGGATGCTACCAGATTTTCTGAGAAGTAGTGGATCTGGGACGGGGTTCACTCAGCCTCGTGAGGGTAATTGAAGAGCTATTTCGAGGAAATAGCTGCTCCGGTCTAGAAAACCGAAGTTAACGGCCGTGGGGGTTAGTTGCGCTGACCACGCGACACCCTCTATCCGCTGAAGTTGGCACTAACTTCCCCGACAAGCGGCGATCGCTCAGTCGGTATAGTTCTCTTGCGGACTCAATCCAAGGAGTTTCTTTTTGAGGGATTAAATACAGTCACATCGGAAGAACAGATTATCTCTTACTTCGATGCTGTAAATACAGGAATGAGGACCGAGGCGTACCGTACATGAGTGAAACATTCATGGATCACACACATACATCATTTGACTGCACTTGTTCGCACTTAAACAGGTCAGAGGATAATTATCATAAATGTTAGAAGCTTGGAGGGCTATACCAGATTCATAAGTCCGTTTCAAGTCGCATCAAATTACTGGCGATTATTAGAGTGATATTATTTTCCAAATTACAAGAAGTGGCTGAAAGTGAAACTAATTCCGGACTACTTCCTCCCGCGTAAGATTGCAGTCGTAGATCCCTGCAGAAGTCTAAAAGACATGGTTAAGTGAGAAGGGGATCCCGTTTGCAGAAATTTACAAAACCAGATCTATTCTATCTGATGAAACCTAAAAAAGAACACGTACCTCTCTTACAGAACAGCGT